CTATGAATAGTAATGGGCTCCATGGGCTTTTCCTTTTCCGTACTCGGGCTTTTACTGTTCGGCATTGTTCCGATGGGAATTTACCGTTTCGGCTGCCCTTTGCCGCGTGCCAGAGCCTGGGGATAGTCGAACGGTTGTCTTCGCCGCATACTTCACTGCTGGCCTTCGCCTTCCATGCGATGACTTCTTACCTTCAGTGCTTTTGATGTATGAGGTCAAGCTTCCCCAGCTTAGCCCGTCGGCGTTCCCAAAGCTGGCAGTTTTTGCTTGGATGTGCCGGACTTGTGGGTTTGTCCCTACCGCCGAGCTTTTCGCCACTTTATTCACTGCATGCGCTTCGACCAAAGATGTGCAGACACCGGCGGGTCCAAGGAAAACCATTTTTGGCTGCGTGAACTTCATGCTTCGACTGGAGCGTTCAGATGCTTGGCCAGTGCCCATATCGATGGCGAAATGGGATAGGAATTGGATGCAGAAATGGTTCTACGTCAACAACCCCTATTCCTCCGAAGATGCTCAGGCGAACTGGCTACCTTTTGAGCATTCTGCTGTCACCATCAATGCGAAGCCAACCGTGGAGATCGATGGGACTCTCGAGTCTCGGCTCATTTTCCTTCGCAAAGTTGCCCGACGGCTCAGCACCAGGGATCTTTGCGAGGAGTTTTGTCTCCTTCGAATTTCGCCTCTCGCCCGCACGTGGGATGTTTCCGTGAATGAGGGCGAAGAAGTTCTTGGGCTTCCCCGCCTTGTTCTCCCTGCAGGGGCCGAGAGTAAGGTTTTTTTTTGTTTTTGACTTAGGCCGCACACTTCTTTTACGAAGGCACTTTGTAGGCTAAACGGTTGTGTTTCTCTCTTTTCGCAGTGCGGACTTTGGAAGACGCTGAATTTGAGGCGTCGAAGATGATCGGTACTCTGACTAGAGCCGAGTTCACCCGCTTGCTTCAGCGCCAAGCCGACGGCCGAGTGAATCGTGTCTTTGCTGGCGAATTACCGAGCCGATTGAAACCCTCTCAGGTCGGCGATGATGAGGCTGGCACTTCGAGAAAACGCAAGCGTGCGATCGTGAAAGGCGGCCAAATCCGAACTTGCCGTAGCACGAAGGCCGTCGTCGAAAGTGATGGGGAGGAGGAGGAAGAGGAGGATGCCGATGTCGGTTCTGAAGAGGATGCCTCTCATGGCTATACCCCCTGCCCTACCCTTGCGAAATATAGTGCAGGCTCGCACGTTTCGCCTACGCGGCCATAGGATATCGTCGTGGCGAACACCCTTTTGGTGATTTCCAGCACGGCCGTGAAACCGATGATGGCCGTTAGAAGGAAAAAGAAGAAGGGGAAGGTTGTGCAGGTTTGGCATGGCTTTTCGGACAGTGAAGGGTCCGACGGGACCCCTACTTCGCCAGTGCTGCAACGCGCGGCATCCCGTGGTAGACGCATGTCTCCGCCACCTGCTAGTGATGCCGAAGCGGCAACGGGCGGGAGTGCTTCAGTTCCGGCCGCTGGGACGAACCTAGCTGAAGGCGAACGGATCGTTGTGGTCCCGTCACCTATTCGTCAACGAGAGGGGAAGGCCCCAGCGGTTGAAGGTAGCATTTCGGACGTGACGCTTACCGCCCCACACTTCATCCCCGTCGACTTCGCCACGCGGCCTGAAATCACTCCGTTCGTAGATGGGGTGTGCCAGGTCATAGCGCCGACCGAAGGCCTTGGGCTCTTCACCGAACTGAACGAGTTCGGCGAAAGTTGCGCAGCTGTGGAAAGTCTATTCGTACGGGCATGACTTATTTTTTTGTGCCGAATTCTGCTCTTTCGCAAGCTTTCTGACGTAACATATATTTCTTGTCAGGGCCTTGCTGCGCATCTAAGCGCCAAGAAGTCTGCCCTAGAGCGGCTTGATGGGTACTGCCTTCGCCTTCGGAAGTCCGAAGAAGATCTTCGGCACAAGGAAGACGAGAGGCGCGTTGTGGCAGATACTTTGAAAAAGGCAAATGCTGAAAACAGGTCTCTCCGCTTTGATCTTGAAGCGGCATGCGAACGGAATGCCGAACGAGACCGTCAGCTTGCTTCGGCCGAGGAGAAGATTAAATCCCTCGAAGCCTGCGTTGCGTCGGCCGAAGCTACTGCCGCAACTTTGGCACCAGCCACTGAGTCCGCCAAGGAGGCCTGCTATACTCTCCGCCTGGCCCTTAATGATCTTGGGGCGCGGGCGGAAGATGCTCCGGGCGAAGGTGGGACTGCACTCGATTTTTCCGAATGGACGCAGGAGGCGGCCGGTTCAGTTGTCGAAGTGGCAGGTGCTTACGGGGACTGTTGCGCTCGCGTTTCGGCGGGATTCGTTCTCAGCCTCTTGCACGCGCACGGCTGCGATCACATCCAAGAATTTCCCGATTTTGTGAAGGAGGAATGGCCTAGCAACACGCAGTACTCCGGGGCTGCGTTAAGGGCCTTTCGGAAGGGGTTTTGGGAGGATGGCGGCCGGGATTGCGCGAAGGTTCAAATTTGCGAGAACCTTGAGAGGATCGTGAGGAACGAGGAGGGCGCTGCCGCCAACTCCGAAAAGGATGTCCGGCCGTCGGGACGGTCCCCCGAGCATGAGGGCGAAGGCAACGGAGGCCAAGACCACCCTGAGGTGTGAGGTCCTTCGCCCTCGTGTCTTTTTATTTTTTATTTGGTCCTTTCGGACCTTCTTATAGTCTAAGTTTTTGTATATAGAGTTTTTGCCTGTTCGGCTTCAAGCTGTTCTTTTAATATAATCCCTTATTCTACTTGGCGAAGTATAACCCTTTCGCCTTTTTTTATTGTGTAAATTGTGTTTTGCCCTTTCTGCACTGTCTACCAGGGTGTTTGCCGAAAGTCGTGCATTCGGCCCCCTTCTGGGAGCTGGCGAAGTCAAAACGAGGAATTTGTGGCATTGAAGGGTCTGCCGAAGGTGCGATGTCCATTCCGGCCTGTTTATCGCGAAATGGAGATAAACGGTCGCAGCTATAAGGTTTTTATGGTTGCCGGCTGGTTGCGGGCGCACCCCGGGCGAACCTTAGAAGATTACGATTTTGTTCGTACAAGACGTTTGGAGGATATGGCTCGCTTTTGGTGAAACCATCAGAAAACTGATCGGCAGGAGGCGATCTCCCAACGTCGTTACAATTTAGTCTGTGTTTCGCCCCCTTCTCCTCTTAGGGTCGTGTATAATATTAGTAGTGATGAGGAACGTAGTTCGCTCGATCATCCCTTAGATAGAGAGAATGATTGTGGGGGCGAAGATGTAATCTATTTGTAAGTTGGGCTGTGAGGCCTTTGCTATATATGCTTGTAGCATGTTGTATGGCTGTAACCTTCGATTATATTTTCGAGGTTAATAAAGGCGTGTTTTATTTCCTTTTCGCTATTTTTGCATTGTCACCTTCTGTGCTTTCATTGCGTCGAAACATGTCGGCCCCGTTGCGTATATTAACGAAATAGGTATGCTGACTTTTCAGCTTTCGACTTCCGTTTTCGATCTATGATGTTCCGCGCTGAAAGGAGCGCTTATGTTTTTACATGGATCGAGTATAACGGTGTTCGGTTAGTTATTTCCGAAATAAGCTATCGCGGTTTCAACGTTCGGCGAGCGATGCTTCGGCCGATTCGTTTTGCCCGTTTCGCCCCCCTGGCGTTTTCGCTGATTAGGCGTTTGCCTTGGGGTTTTTCCACGAATTATCATTTACACAGGTAAAGAGGCGAGAAACACAAAGATTTTATACTGGTTTGGGCCTGCAAGGTGGATAATGACCCTACATCCAGTTTTTTTTTCTCTCTTTTTTTTTGTATTTTTGTGCCGAAGGGCTTACATAGTGTCGAAAGGCTTACATAGCAAATATGTACATTTTTATAAGTTGGCGATTTGGGTGCCACCCGTTTAGACATAGAAACGCTTGAGGGAAGCAGTGTTCCAGGAGTGGTCGAACTCTTCGCCTTCCAGCGTTGCTAGGCGAAAGGAGCCCGTTCTGGATCTGTGCTTGATGAGGAACGTCCCTTCCCACTTTGATTCAAGCTTCCCGACCGCCACCGGGTTCGCCTTTTTCCTTAGAACGAGATGGCCAGGCAACAGTTCTGTCGGTCGAACTTTTTTGTTATACGTTGCCGAGGTGCTTGCAGCGTATTTGCGCATGTGTTCCAGCGCTTCGATTCTTATCCCTTCAAGGAGTTCTAGTGACACCTCGTGCCCATCTTCGCCTCCCGGGAACACTACCCTAGGCGAGTTAGCCCCTAGTTCAGTCGGGGTCATTGCTTCGTCGCCATAGAGGAGCATGAACGGGCTGAACCTGGTTGGCCTTGTGGGGGTCGTTCGAAGGGCCCAAAGAACGGATAGCATTTCGTCTGGCCATTTACCCTTCGCCGCCCCCTCAAGCCTTTTTTTGAGCACCTCAAGAATTTTGCCATTTGTGCGCTCAGCCGCCCCATTTGACTGTGGGTGCGCGACTGAGGCGAACCTGATTTCCAGGTTTAGCCCTTGCACATTTCTTTGAATTTGTTGGAGTCGAATTGCTTGCCGTTATCAGTGATGAACTCTTTCGGCACTCCGAAACGGCAAATAATGTTTTTCCACACGAAGTTTTGTACCGCTGCTGAAGTGATCGCACCGAGTGGTTCGGCTTCGATCCAGCAGGAGAAGTATTCGATGCTTACAATTGCGAACTTATACCCATTTCTTGCTACAGGGAATGGGCCAATGATGTCAAGACCCCATCTGGCGAAAGGCCATACTAGTGCGATAGGCTGCAGCTCGTACTGTGGTGCAGTCTGGTTTCGGCCATGCCGCTGGCAGCTTTCGCACTTCCTGGCTTGCTCAACACAAACTTTCAGCACGGTGGGCCAATAGACTCCCTAGCGAAACACTTTGGAGGCGACTGTCCTTGCGGCTTGATGTGCACCGCACAGCCCCTGTTGTATTTCTTTCGCCATTTCTTCTCCTTCGGCGAAGGACATGAAGCGAAGTAAGGGTTGGAGCACCCCGGAGCGGTACAGCTAGCCGGAGACAAGCTTGTATTTTGTGGCTCTGAGCTGTAAGCGCTTCGCTTCTGCTTCCTCCTCTGGGAGCCAGCCGTTCTTGAGGTACTTGACGAACGGTGTTCGCCAGTCATCTGGGTCTTCGCCCAGTTCTGCCTGGTTGATTGCCATGATGTCCAGGCTTTCTGTGTGCACACTTGGTACGTACAAGACTTCAAAAAAGATGCCTGGCGAATGCGGGCCTCCACAGGCGGCAGATTTCGCCAGGGTGTCTGCTTCCACATTATGGCCTCTAGGTAAGTGTTCGACCGTTATGCCGGCGAAGCACTTTTCCATAGACCGAACAGCCTCCAGATATCTCTTCATGCCTTCTTCTTTTGCCTCAAAGGATTTGTCAACATGACTTGCCACCAGTTTGGAGTCTGTTCGGATGAGCAAGCGCCGAACCCCCAAAGCTTTTGCCTTTCTTAGGCCCAAAAGTACAGCTTCGTATTCGACCGTATTGTTGGTCGTGTCGAACTGCAGCCTTGCGGCATATCGAATGGGCACGCCTCTTGGCGAAGTGAGTACTGCCGCGGCGCCCGCCCCCCTGTGCGACCACGTGCCGTCGGAGTGCATTATCGAAGGCTGTTCGACGGGCTCGGGTTCGGGGGTGAACGCCGGCTGAAATTTTTACATTTTGGTCCTTTTTGAAAAACTTATTTTACAAATAGACCCCTGGGAAAACTTAAACCGGAAATGGTCATTTTTGGGGCGCCAGAGTGGCTGGCGCCGTACCCCAACATGGCGGCGCCAGCCGCACTGGCGCCGTGCCAGTGCCACCGTGGCACTAGGGCTATCATGGAGGTGCTGACTGGGCAGAATGGGGGCGCCAGCCACACTGGCGCCGCCCCTCATACCACAACGCCAGTATGGCTGGCGCGCCCCTCCTCTGTGGGCCGACCCATTAAACCCCATGGGCCCCACCACCTATCTCCTCCCCACTCCCATTTTCGCCCAAGCACCAGCCCGAGCTGAGCAGCAGCAGCTCTCCCCCTCTCTCTCCCCCTCACCTCCCCACCTCAAATCCACTCCATTTGAACTCGTTTTTCGCGGGATTTTTTTGTGGAAATCGAAGAGAAAGGTAGACTCCTTCATTCACCCCTCTTTTTTTTTTGTTTTTATTGGTTGAATTTGTAGATCGGTGGGTAACCCTAGAACCCCTTTTTTACCCAAATTTGTGATTTTTAGCATTTGTTCTTAGGATTGGCTTGTTGGAGTGCTACATGTTTGCAATGTACTCATTGGTGTCATAATTTTTTTAACCATATATGTGGTAATGTTAATTTTTGGATGGTTTGGTTGGATGGATGGATGAAAAATTATGGTTGAGGCATGAAAGTAATTTTAATTTGATGGACTTGATGCTATAGTCTATAGGTTAAACTTTTAACCATTAATTATATGAAGGTGAGAAAATTTTGGTTGCATTATATAAATTGATTATAGTTAACTAGAACTAGGTTGGGTTGTATGATGAAGTATTTGTAATATTTCGATGTGTAATGCACTAGTAAACTTGTTGATAGTTGTAGGTGGATTAAATAATTTTTTGGAGTAGTAGCTTTGGGACAATTTAAGTTATGCATTGGTTATAATATGTCGGTTTGGACTACGTTTAGGAATGAAGATTTAATTTTTGTTGCAAAGTTACATTTGATTTTTTGGTGTAGATGGATAGACTTGTTCGTGTTTACTACGGTGGTAGAGTGGTGGAACCTTATGTTGGTGCACATGTTGAGTTTGAGGATATGTCATTGAAGACCATTTTGTTTCCCACCCACCCAACTCTAGATGAACTAAGGTCACGAGTGAAAGAAGTTCTTGGATGGACCGAGGATAATGTGGAGATTCGTTTTTATGGGAGATACGATGTTGGTCAAGGGCATAAGTATATATTAAATGTGATAGGTCAGTTGGAATGGGAAGTTTACTTTGATTTGGTAAAAGAGTCTCAGTTTAGATCTCTAGAGGTGTTTGCATCAAAGTTAGTTCGTACCGTAGAAAATTTGGATCTAAACAAATCTCCTTCTTATCATTACGTTGAGAAGAATTTTGTGACATATTATTCTCGTCGTGGAGGGGGTGCAAGTAAGACTGAGTTGGTACGAGAAGACTTGGAGGGGGAAGGAGAGAAGAAGAGACCTTTGCTTGGAAATGATTTATAGGAGGTAGGACCATCAAAGAGACATTGCGGTACTGATGATGTGGATGCAGCGAGGGAGATGAAAAGGGAGTTAGTACAAGAGGGTCTTGATCTAAGTGAACATTTGTCGGCGAGTGTTCATTGGTCGTCGTACGGAGTCAACCCTGAATACCCGACAGAAGTAGCAGGCCAATATGTGAATCCAGATGATTACTTTGATGTCGAATTGAGTGGTGGTCACGATTCTGTCTTAGTAGAAGTCAATAGAGATGATGTTGACGAGGAGGCAAGTGTTGAGCAATATGATGTTGAATTTGCTGAAGACTCTGATGATGACCGTCCATTCCCTCAACTTACTAATAATGACAAGTTAGCATTAGAGGAATGTCGTGCGTTTTAGAAGGTGTTTGGGAGGAAGCCGGACATTCCTGAGTTTAGGGACCTAATACATGCCCATGGTGCACTACTAGATGGCGGTATCAACCTAGATCAGTTGCCAGAACCATTCCAGGTGGATGGTCTCAGAAAGGGTTTAGAGTTCTCATCCATGGTCGCATTGAAGCTATGGCTCCAGGAGTACGCCATCGTGCACCATCGTCCATACCGTGTTGTCAATTCTGCTGCAAATAGGAGGTACACTGTTAAATGTGAAAACCCACGGTGCAAATGGAAGGTCCATGCAACTAAGAGGTCTAGTGGCACGTGGAGGATATCACGGGTAGGTAAGGAACATAGTTGTGCTACTGCCGAAGGTTCAGGGAGCCACCGGCAGCTGACATCAAAGTTCATAGCAAATAGGTTATGCAATGCCATAAAACTGCAACCTACACTCTCTGCTTCTGCGTTAGCTTTGTATATATTTGAGGTTTTCCAGTATAGGGTGAAGTATGGCAAGGCTTGGAGGGCACGAGAGGAGGCTATGAAGCTCATTTACGGTGAATGGGGTGAAGCGTATGTCCGTTTGCCCACTTTGCTGCAAGCCATTAAGCAGAGGAATCCCAGTATGGTCTACCACATCGATACTCATCCTGATAGGGTTGTCAACATTGATGGAGTGACCAAGAAAATTTTTATGCGTGCATTCTGGTGCTTTGGTCCTTCCATTGAGGCATTTAAGCATTGTAGGCCAATACTAGCTATAGATGCAACCTTCCTAACTGGGAAATACGGTGGTGCTTTGATGACTGCATTATCAGCTGATGCGGAGGACCAACTTGTACCTTTAGCTTTTGCCTTGGTGGAGAAAGAGAATTCACGAGACTGGTGCTGGTTTATCGATCTTGTCCGACGGGTTGTGGTTGGGCCACATTGGGAGGTTTGTATTATCTCAGATCGACATGCTGGTATAATGAATGCCATGACGACTCCTGTTCCAGGATTGCCACCGGTTCACCACCGATGGTGCATGAGGCACTTCAGTGCTAATTTCCACAAGGCCGGTGCGGACAAGCATCAGACAAAAGAGCTCCTAAGGATATGTCAGATTGACGAGAAGTGGATATTTGAGAGGGATGTTGAGGCAGTAAGGCAGCGTATTCCCGAAGGTCCTCGTAAATGGCTTGAAGATGAGTTGTTGGATAAAGATAAGTGGTCTCGTGCATACGATAGAAATGGCCGCCGGTGGGGTTACATGACAACCAACATGGCCGAACAGTTCAATAGCGTGCTAGTTGGTGTTCGTAAGCTTCCAGTGACGGCCATAGTATCATTTACGTTCATGAAGTGCAATGACTACTTTGTGAACAGACATGATGAAGCTTTGAAGCGAGTTCAGTTAGGGCAGCGTTGGTCCACCAAGATTGATAGTAAGATGAAGGTGCAAAAAAATAAGGCGAACGAACACACCGCAAGGTGTTTTGATCAGCAGAAAAAGACATACGAGGTCACAGAGAGGGGTGGTATAACGCGTGGTGGTGTTAGATTCGGCGCAAGAGCCTTCAAAGTTGAAGGTGAGGGGAACTCATGTTCTTGTCAAAGGCCATTGCTCTACCATATGCCTTGCTCACATCTTATACACGTTTATCTGATTTATGCAATTGATGAGGAATCTCCCAACCGAATGCCGTATCAGTTCTCTTCAAGAGCCGTTGTGAACACATGGGCAAGTCGCTTTGAGCCATACCTCGACCCCACACAGTGGCCACCGTACGATGGTGAAGAATTTGTTGCTGACCCAAATTTGAAGATTAAAACAAGAGGGAAGAGGAGATCGAAACGATTCAAGAACGAAATGGACTCAGGTCTGGGTGGTTCTGGAAGGAAACCACCTTCATGCGTTCAACTTTATGCTGCGCCGGTGCAAAATAGATGCTCGTTGTGTCACCAGGAGGGTCACAAGAAAACTAAGTGTCCTAAGCGTCCAAAAAAGAAGAAGTCCAAAAAAAATATAAGTGTTAGGGAGGTAAATATTTTGTTTTCCTACTCATGTTCTCGCATTCATTTTCTTTTAATATATGTCCCATTGGTAACTAACGGTGAATTTATTACTTTTTCATGTAGGATGGCCGAGGAGGGACAACCGCCAACTTACCTAGCCTTGGAGGCGTACTACGAGGCCCGTCATCGCGGGGCTGTGATCGAGGCGGGAAGGGTATGAATCAGCATTGATTCACTTGTGCATAAGTATCGGTAGCGTGTATTTGACATTATATTAACTAATTGATTTACAATTACTAATGCAGGTACTTCAACCACTCCGAGTCAGAGCTCATGCCCCCCCAGTGTTCGACGATAGGTACATCCCGTACCTAAGGGCGGCCGGGTTGCTCGGGGTGGCCTTGGTCGTGAGCAGAGGAATGCCAGTGTTCAACGCTCCTGCGTTGACAGCACTTGTGGACAGATGGAGGCCTGAGACACACAGCTTCCATCTTCCCAGTGGTGAGATGACCATCACTCTACAGGATGTGGCTATGATCTTGGCCCTCCCATTACAGGGGCATGCCGTGACGGGCAGGACAGAGACTCCTGGATGGCGTGCACAAGTGGAGCAGCTGTTTGGCATTCAACTGAACATTGAGCAGGGGCAAGGGGGGAAGAAGATGCAGAATGGAATACCCCTGTCTTGGCTGAGTCAGAACTTCTCACATCTTGACGACGACGCTGAGCCATGGCGTGTTGAGTGTTATGCCCGTGCATACATCTTGCACTTGTTGGGAGGGGTTCTGTTTCCTGATGCTGGGGG